AAAGAGTTTTCTTTATTTTCATAACTATGAAAATGGAAGATTCACACTGAAGGCATCCATACTATGAATTAACACATGTGGAATTATATACTTAACAAAAAAATTAAAACAACAGAAAATATGTCTTGTGTTCTAGGTTCTTTCAAGTAGCCACCATTTGCTTTGATGACTGCTTTGCACACTCTTGGCATTCTCTTGATGAGCTTCCAGAGGCAGTCACCTGAAATGCTCTTCCAACAGTCTTGAAGGAGTTCCCAGAGATGCTTAGCACGTGTTGGTCCTTTTGCCTTCACTCTGCGGTCCAGCTCACACCAAACCATCTTGATTGGGTTCAGGTCTGGTGATTGTGGAGGCCAGGTCATCTGGTGCAGCACCCTATCTCTCTCCTTCTTGGTCAAATAGCCCCTTTCACAGCCTGGAGGTGTGTTTGGGGACATTGTCCTGTTGAAAAATAATTGATGCAAACCAGATGGAATAGCATTTTACTGCAAGATGCTGTGGGAGCCATGCTGGTTCAGAATGCCTTCAATTTTGAATAAATCCCCAACAGTGTCACCAACAAAGGAGCCCCACACCATCACACCTCCTCCTCCATGTTTCACGGTGGGAACCAGGCATGTAGAGTCCATCCGTTCACCTTTTCTGCTTCGAAAAAAGACACAATCAAATTTGGACTCATCAGACCAAATCACAGATTTCCACTGGTCTAATGTCCATTCCTCGTGTTCTTTAGCCCAAGCAAATCTCTTCTGTTTGTTTCCTGTCCTTAGCAGGGGTTTCCTAGAAGCTATTTTACCTGAAGGCCTGATTCACACAGTCTCCTCTCAACAGTTGTTCTAGAGATGTGTCTGCTGCTAGAACTCTGTGTGGAATTGACCAGGTCTCTAATCTGAGTTGCTGTTAAAGGAATACTACACCCAAAACACGATTAGCCTTCATTTTCTACTCACCCCCATGCTGAACAACACTCTGGAGTACTTTTTTGATATCTCAAAGGCATCTGGAGATCTGGGAGGCTTTCTGCTGTCTGCTGACATTCAAATAATGGAGGTCTATGGCACCCGAGGCAGAAAGGTCCATAAAAGTCCACAAAAAACGTGTCAATATTCCTCCATACTGCTCGTCCAATGTATTCCAAGTGTCCTGAGTGGGTAGAGTCCATAATTTACTCGAAACAAAGTCATTTAGAATGTTTTTAGAGCATAAACAGTAAACGGCAGACCAAACCAGATGAAAGTGCGCATTCAGCTCGGCAAAGAACTCATGCTCTTCCTCAACACTGAAGTCCTCAGACATTTTTCTTTCGTTGTTTCTTTCTTTGCACAGGTAAACAGCACATTTCTTCTTCTACGCTTGCATTATTGGCAGAGCAGACGCTGAATGCGCACTTTCATCTGGCTTGGTCTGCCGCGGTTTCCGTAGACTCGTGAACGCGCATGTGCGCACTTTTAGGAAATCCTATACACTACTGTTTATGCTCTAAAAACATTCTAAATGACTTTGTTTCGAGTAAATTATGAACGCTACCAACTCAGGACACTTGGAATACATTGGACGAGCAGTATGGAGGAATATTGACACGTTTTTTGTGGACTTTTATGGACCTTTCTGCCTCGGGCACCATAGACCTCCATTATTTGAATGTCAGCAGACAGCAAGAAGCCTCCCAGATCTCCAGATGCATTTGAGATATCAAAAAAGTACTCCAGAGTGTTGTTCAGCATGGGGGTGAGTAGAAAATGAAGGCTAATCATGTTTTGGGTGTACTATTCCTTTAATCTGCGATTTCTGAGGCTGGTGACTCAGATGAACTTATCCTCTGCAGCAGAGGTGACTCTTGGTCTTCCTTTAATGGGGCGGTCTTCATGTGAGCCAGTTTCCTTATAGCGCTTGATGGTTTTTGCAACTGCTCTTGGGGACACTTTCAGAGTTTTGCCAATTTTTCAGATTGACTGACCCCTATCTCTTAAAGTAACGATGGCCACTTGTTTTTCTTTACTTAGCTACTTTTTTCTTGCCATACCACAAATTCTAACAGTCTATTCATTAGGCCTATCAGCTGTGTATCCACTTGACTTCTGCACAACACAACTGATGCTCCCAACCCCATTTATTAGCCAAGAAATCCCACTTATTAAACCTGACAGAGGACACCTGTGAACTCTTTGAATGAGAAGGTGTGTCCGAATGTTTGGTCTATACTGTATATGTTTCTGTTGGAATCACCTTTCAGCTATGCATTAATATTGCTTCTGTACTCTGAAGCTCACACTGAATAGATTTCTCAGAAAATAATTCAGTGAGTTCATATACAGTACTGCAACTCAGTTTTTCTAATATAAACATGATGTCACGCTGAGATTGAAGTGCAACACATAAGTACAGCTTCCAACAGAGGTTTTGTTGAGAGTTTATGAGCAGTAAGTATCCTTACCTGCTTACCTCATCTATAAATAAAAAAAAAGATCAGTTTTCCTAACAGCTTGCCTAATAGCTGTATATTTATTGGATCATTGGATGCTTATTATTGACCATCCATCAATGCAGAAAATATCAGTTACAGTCTTTCCGTTTGGACCCCTACAGTAAGTATTCCCTAGATTATCTATATTTGATACAAGCCAAAATATTCAGAAAAGTTTTTCTTTTTACATTCCTCCAAGTCAAACGTTTACATCCAATAAAGATGATCATGCCTTTCAACATTTTTTGAAATCCCAGAATAATGCGTTTGCTTTGTAAGATCCTTCTTCAACTGATATCTGTGGATGTATTTCAGGACATCAACCCAAATACTTTGCTTTCCCTCATGACATCATGCAAAATTGTGGACGGCAAAATGATGAAAGAACATTATATGGAAATAGTGTATTAAGAGATGGAAGGTAAAGGGTATAGGTCTTCCAAAGGGATGATGACTGAGGGCAAACATCAAAAGTAGTTCATATTTTGTACTGCCTTCATAAAGCTTTGAACTCTTTCCCAAATAAAATGTATGGGCTGAGCTATAAAGGTATGTGAGAGCAAGGTGGCCGCCAAACTTGACTCACTTCAACCAGTGTGTCATGAGTATTGAGCCAAATTCAAAAAAGAAAGATCTAAAAAATATAAATCTGTCATTTAACAATATTATTAGTTTTTTTTATATATATAATCCTACCTGACACGAAACATGAAAGGTCTAGTTTAATTAAATAACAGACATTGGTTTGTAAATATCTGGTTCTAAATGTATCCGGGGATTTGCTTTGGAGTGTGAAATTAGATGTCAAAAAGGACAAAAATACAACGTATCACTGTGAAATTAGTATACAGTTCAGAAAATGTGGAGCCCTATTTTTATAGATATCGAAATAACTACAGCTGTGCTTATTTACATCAGATGACAGTGCTAAGAAAGCTTAAATGTATTACACTGTTGTTCTTTTGCAACAAAAGAATTAGTGGTTGGATATATACTCATAACATTCAACAATTTGGCTGAGATTTATATATATATATATATATATGGTAACTGTTATGAAGCACAGCCTGCCACAGTCGTCGATGTAAAATAAAAACATTCTGTGAGTAAGAATAAAATAGCATTTGTAAAAACAGTTATGACACTGGTTGGACTGTATTCCTTAAACGGGAATACTTTTACAAATTTCCGCAATGCATCTAGATTTCATGTAGTATATTTGTGGCTGGTCATTTGGAGAAAAGGAAAAATAAATCATGACTGTCATGGAACATCTGAGAGAGATCCTTTGGGGTCTGTAAGATGGCTTCAGGGTCGTGATGCCAGTGGACCTAAAACAGATGCAATAACACGCAAATCCCTCAACAGTTTTCCTTTGAATTAGGTTAATTCCAAAGCTGGGCACTTCCTTTACACCATAAAGATGAATTAATAAATAGTGCACCTTGTCAGATATATCTTTTTGTTGTTAAATATTATTATTGATCAGT